AATCCTGAATAGGAGGTATTGTTGGCAGTTGCGGTTTTTTGTTCCGTATGCTCTTTGCTGTCAATAACGTCCTATAATGTGATCCCACGACACTCATAAAATACATGAATATATCCCAACTAGTCGGGTCAGGAAACCTCGATCGCTGATTAATTACGATTATCTACTGCCTACACGGACTGTGGATAGAGTTCTAAGACAGAATGCAACGTCGACTTTGAATCATCCGGATCTTAGCTGGCAGCATGTGGGTACCGCGCACGGTCCAGGTGGTGAGTGTACTCAGAGCGTCACAGTAAATCCGGCCCAGTCCCCTTTTAGAGAAGGGGAAAGACTAACACAGGTCGTGTATTCAGTACACAAAACCAGTGTGTCAGGACCCAGACGCGCGACCGGCTCCGGGCCGGCTCGCTAGCCTGTCCGTGAAGGCGACATAGGCGTGAATGTGTGTCACGTGAGTTAATTGGGCGATTGAGAGAATTGTATACGCCTGTGATTGGTTATCCTCGAGGCTGAACGTGGTCGTGTACTGGCCGCTTGGGGTCGTGATCACGTGATCCCTAGCATGATGTAGGTGCCCAAGGCGGAAACCTTGCACGCGCGAGGCTCTATGTAACGTATCTGATCCGACTGAGGGCGACTGGTCCGACTGAAGGCAATTTATAAAGAAATAATGAGGCGTGTATTAAGTTGAACCTACTACAGTCCTCGCTAAAGGCCTAATGTACACAGGTAGGGCCGCAGGAGTTCTTGCTTAACAGCAAAGTCGGCAGACAACAGAAAGTCGGAGCTCGGGCGTCCTATTTCCTTCCTTGGTTAGCTTTCTGGCGTATTTATGGAACCCCAGGCGTTGAAGTAGTCCGAAGATCCGGATCCGGCGTTGTGATTGGTTGAGTGGCATGGTGAAAAGAGAGCAGAGCAAACTTCAGTTAGCATAATACCACTTAATTAGTAGTTATGGCAGATTTCTTATGTTAAGTAATTTTATAGGAAACCCAAATTATAACAAACAAGACAATACGTTTTAACTCACCAATATGCATAGTTAAAGTTGGTCCTGCAAACACCAATCCTATGAGTAGTAGTAGCGATTGCGCGCACTCCTGCAGTACTGGTCCGAAATTCTCACTATAAGTGACAATCGCGTGAACTGCGAGCTACTTGAGCCATGGTTCACCGGCCCCCAGTCTATTGACAAGTGCAAGGACCTTCCCCTTCCATACTCGGTGCTGAGACTTCGCCTAGAAGGAGTAATTAGCCACGCCGGGAGCGCACAGGGGGACACTGTTCCCAACGCCGGGGTCGGTGGATCATATGGTCAAGCAATCATCACACCAACATCCAACGCACGTGATGAAATTGCAGCAATTTACGACGCGAAGGTCGGCCATCAAACAGTCATCACACCAAGTGCAACGATCCCTGACGAAGGGAGGAGGGACGCGTGAGTACTTATAGGTGTGCGGTAGCATGGCGACTGCATCCTATACATACTGCAGCCCCTTGTGCATGGGCCACGCATGTCTGCTGCTGTCTCTGATGATGGGAAACCCATCATCATCCGAAACGGCAGGCGAATAAAGCCCTAGTCCCAGCGATCATATCTCCTTCTACACGACTGCTTCCTGAGACTCGTCTCGTCGCTTCTATTGTACTAGCTAAAAGTCCACACGCGTGTTTTGCCTATACTCTGCCACTGCATGACGCAACTGCGAGGGATCAGGCCCCTCGGT